GACTAAACACCAGTGGGTGGACAGCCTCAGTTTAAGGATTTGTGTGGAGATTAAATCACATGATATCAGTGCCTTGGCGCAGATTAAGTACTCAGTGAATATTTGTTTTCTTTTTCAACTTTAACATTAGCTTATTATATCACTTTAAGCCTATAATTTGGCTGTTCAATGCCTTCTAAATATCCCTTTACTTCTCTGGAGTCAACCTAGCTCTAAAAGCAACAAGAATATTACAGTTAAAATAAAATGGAATTTTAAATTTTAAATTAAAAAACATATTTACCTATACTATTTAATATCCAGGGGATTAATCTTCCTTCTCCCTACATTGCAAGGTCTTTAACAATGAAAAAATACAACCGAATAATATGCTTTCAAATAACATATTCACACAAACATATTTGTAGGCAAGACTGCTAGTCTGATCAATTCCTACTACATTTAATGGGTATTTCTGAAGATGATCATGAAATAAAAACAACAGATTATAAGATAACAAAAATAAATGTCATTTGAATTACCGTGCTTTCTAAAAAATTTTTATAACCCCCAGTATCTATAAAAATTAGGGTGTGTGTGTTTGTGGGTGTGTACATGTGCAAATACCCTTCCTAAGATTGAATTATTATGAGGAAATACACAAATAGATATTTTCTATGGAAAACTTGACATGAAGCATGCGTCTGGAATCTATGAATTACACGATGTAAAATATCATTAAATGGAAATATGTTTTTCTTTCCACTGATTCAACAGTTCACTATTTTTACTCACTACCATTGGGGTGATTCTAATGATAAGGCCACGTGCATCAGAGAGAACTGTTCTTCAAAGAACATTTACAGGATGATTTTTCAGAATCAAATCAACATGCAGTCCTACGGAGGCAGCTCTAGGTGACTCAAACCACCAGCTTTTTTGCCAGCAGCTAAGAGGATTAGTTGCCTGTACCACTCTGGGATTGTACCACCATTCAAATATACCACAACTTAAATGTTTAGTGTTTTAGAAAAGGCATGGATTTTGAAGTAGAGGCAACCTCTACCTTGGCTTCCTTAGAAAGCTGCTGAATTACCCTTCATATTGTTAGAACAATCTATAAATACACTTGGATTCCAACTAACATTGGAAGAGATGATTTCTGGTGCTCATAAAATCTGCCTCAAGTGTCCTTTTTGGTTACCAAGCACATTTCAATGCCTTGTCATCCTTGACACTCTAATAGGGATGACAGAGTATCTATCTGTTCCTCAAGTAGAATGACAGATTCTTTGATCTATCATTTTACAAAAGAGAACTGCATCAAGGAAGAGCAAAAAAATAGTGATCGCTGAAAAAGTCCTATGCAGTCAGATTGTAAACAGCTCCACCCATCTTTCAATGAAGAGCTAAATGCAAGACAACAGCTAGACATATGTAAAGTACATCGTTAGCGTATCTAATACAATGTTTTACCCCATTGAATATGTTTAGGCTCATACAAAGGCTTTTAAAGAAGGAAAGTGAGGGAGATGACAGAGCTCCTGTTGCTGTCAGGTGCTGGTGACTCACTCCTGACTCACAGAGGCCCCATGCACGACAGAATGGAACACCGCCCAGGCCTGCATCATCCTCGCAGTTGTTATGTTTGATCTACTGTTGCAGCAGTTGTTTCAGGTCTTCTCATTTAGGGTACTCCTATTTTTAATTTACCAAAGGAGCCTCGGGGGTGTAGTGGTTATATGTTGGGCTGCTAACTGTAAGGTTCGCAGTTCGAAACCACCAGCTGCTTTGAGGGAGAAAGATGGGGATTTCTATTCCCATAAAAAGTTATGATCTTAGAAGCCCATAAGGGCAGTTCTACCCTATCTTAGAGGGTCGCTATGAGTTGGAGTCAACTTCATAACAGTGAGTTTTTAGGACTTTTCTATTTTACCAAGTGTAATGTCCTTCTCCAGGGATTGGTCTCTGCTGATAACATGTCCAAAGTACATGAGACAAAGTCTCATCATCCTTGCTTCGAAGGAGCATTCTTGTACTTCTTCCAAGGCAGATTTATTTGTAATTTTGCAAGTCCATGGTACTTACAACATTCTTTGCCAGCACCATAATTCAGATGCATCAATTATTTTCCAATCTTTCTTATTTGATGTTCAACTTTCACATGTATATGAGGCTATTGAAAATACCATGGGTAAGGCACATCTTAGTACTCAAGTTGCCACTCTTATTCTTCAGTGCATTAAAGTGATTTTATGCAGCAGCCTTACTCAATGCAACATGTCACTTGATTCTTGATTGTTGTTTACATGAGCACTTCTTGTGCATCAAAACAACATGAAATCCTGACTACTTCACTATTGTCCCCATTTATCATGATGTTACCTATTCGTCCAGTTGTGAAGATTTTGGTTTTCTATACATTGAATTTGAATCAATACTGCAAGCTGCAATCTTTGATCTTCATCTGCAAGTGCTTCAAGTCCTCCTCGCATTCAGCAAGCAATGCTTAACAGGTTTCACATGAGCACAATATGGTGGTATGGAATTCCCATTCTTCTCAATGTTATCCATAGTTTGTTATGACCCATAGATGTGTTCAACAGGTGGTTGGCTATGTAGCCCAAAGAACAGGAAATAACTAGGAAGTCGGAGACTAGAAAACAGTGGCAATGGAGTGATGAGTTGAGTGGGAATGACCAAAGAGCTAAGAGAAAAACTTGGTGCATGAACTCACATGCACCAAGAGTAAGAAAACAAAAAAGGATTTGAAGAAAGATGAAGTAGTAAACACCAAATACTGAATAAAAGTCACCCATAATAAGCAAAACAAAGAAGGAAAAGTATTCAGAAATATGGTCTTGGTGATAGAAACAAAACTAAAGATCACATGATAGAATTTTGCAAAACAAATACCTTTTTCATACCTGTTTTCAACAACACAAATGGTGACTGTACACATGGGCCTCTCTAGATGGAATATACAGAAACCAGATTAACTAAATCTAGAGGAAGAGAACATGGAGAAGCTCAATATCAGAAGCTAAACAAGGCCAGAGCCTGACTGTGGAACAGACAGCCAAATGTCCGTATGTAAATTCTGGTTGAAGCTGAGGAATTCGGCTTCAATTTTGAGAACACTTCAAGAGTAGATTGCTGCATTGAGCACTAAGGACAGAAGGCCTGATGAGCTGTGAACGACGTCGAGAATATCACTCATGCAGAAAGCAAACGGTCATTAAAAAGACAGGAAAGGAAAGATCAGCATGGATGTCAGAAAACTCTTCAAATGTGCTTAACTGCAGACTAACTAATGGAAAATGAAGAAATGATGAAGTCGAAGAGCTGAATAGAAAATTTTAAAGGTCAGTTCAAAGAGAAAAAACTAAGATATTACAATATAATGTACAGTGATCTAGAGATAGAAAAACAAAAAGAACACACTCTTCATATATTAAACTGAAAAAACTACAGAAAAAATTCAAGCCTCAAGTTGCAAGATTAAAAGATATTATGGACAAAACAATGAATGATATAGGAAGCATCAAAAGAAGATGAAAAGAATACACAGAATCGCTATACCGAAAAAAAACCTTGGCTGCATTCCACCACTTCAGGAGATCGCACATGAGCAAGAGTCCATGTTGCTGAAGGAAGAAGTTCAAACTTCACTAAAAGCATTAGCCAAAAACAAGGCTCCAGGAATTGATGGGCTACTAAGTGAAATGTTTCAACAAGCTGATGAAACACTGGGAGCACTCACTAATCCATGCTAGGAAGTTTGGGAGACAACGACCTGGCCAACTGACTGAACGAGATCCATATTTGTACCAATTCCAATGAAAAGTGATCTAACAGAATTCTCAAATTATAGAACATTATCATTAATTTCACATGCAAAAAAATGTTGATGAAGATCATTCATCCATGGTTGCAGCAGTCAATTGACAGGGAGCTGCCAGAGGTTCAAGCTAGATTCAGAAGAGGACATAGAACAAGGGATCTCATTGTTGATCTCAGATAGATCAAGATTGGAGCAAGGCTTATTAACAGACTGTAGTATACAGATGAGACAAACTTACTTGCTGGAAGTGAGGAGGACTTGAAGCACTGGCTGATGAAGATCAAGGATTGCACCCTGCAATATGGATTACAACTCAATGTAAAGAAGACCAAAATCCTCCCAACTGGACCAATAGCCAACATCATGATAAATGGAGAAAAGATTGGAATATTCTGCATGCATCCACAATCAATGCTCATGGAATTATCAGACAAGAGATCAAAAGACGCATTGCACTGGGTCAATTTGGCTTTACAAGATCTCTTAAAAGTGTTGAAAAGCAGGGAGGTTACTTTGAGGACTAAGGTGCTCCTGACCCAAGCCATGATATTTTCAGTTGCTTAATATAAATGTGAAAGTTGAACATTGAATAACTATGCTTTCTGTAGAAAAGTGCCAAATATAAACAACACAGCAATTTTCAAATGTCCACATGTGAATATACTTTCTCATTACTGCTGATTTTGGTTATTGAATTCCAATTTTGAACCATAGAGTTCTTTGAGTAATTAGATAAATACCTGTAAAGTAAGCAACCATATTTTCTCTGTCATCCTTAGGCCAGGGAACAGCCCCGAAAACATACTGTAACAAAGAAGGGTCTTATTTCAGTTTCTTATACATGCTGTCACAGAGAAGGATCCTTCTCTCTTCTTTTTGTTTCTTAGGGTAATTAATAAAAGGGCAACCTATGGTTATTCTGCTCATAAGCTTTCATGCTGGCTTTCATGTTGATAGAACTAAACATTTGCAAATGTACTTCAAATACTTGCATGTTATATATCCAATTTGTCAATGATAAAAATGTAAGGCTAAGTTACCATTTACTTTTGAACACCTAATCAGAACCACAGCATAATATACAATGACATGTTGCTTTTCTGCCTCAGCTCCACTTGATTGACTTAGACTTTCTCTGTGTTCTGTTTTGTTTCTCTTGTGTGCGTTTGTTCTCCAGTAAGTGATGGCCTCGGTTTTGCTTCTCTCTTGGATGGCAGCTACCACGTAGGGCCTGAATGTCCTACTGCTCTTCAGGAACGGGAAGAAGATTCCTGCTTTGTTTTTGTGTTTTGGTGGCAATCTTGCAAAAACACTGTTGAATGGGTCGCTATTTCAACAGAGCATCAGATGAATGGGACCGGTCTCTCTTCTTTCAGAATATCAGAAATTAAGCATTTGGACAGGAGATTTGGCCAACATGACCCACCTACAGGCTGGCCTCAGTCCAGAAACAATAGAGAAAGCGCGCCTGGAACTGAATGAGAACCCTGATGTTTTACATCACGATGTTCAGCAAGTCAGGGACATGATCATCACCAGGCCTGACATTGGGTTTTTACGAACCGATGATGCCTTCATTCTGAGGTTTCTCCGAGCCAGAAAGTTTCACCAAGCAGATGCCTTTAGACTCTACGCTCAGTACTTCCAGTACCGTCAGCTAAACCTGGACATGTTCAAAAACTTCAAGGCAGATGATCCTGGCATTAAGAGGGCTCTGATTGATGGGTTTCCTGGAGTGCTGGAAAGCCGAGATCACTACGGCAGGAAGATCCTTCTGCTGTTTGCAGCCAATTGGGATCAGAGTAGGTAAATGTAGATAGTGTCTTTACTTGGATTTTCTTTTCTTTAAGCATAATCACTGAATGCTTTTACAGGTATTCATTTTTAAAAGCAGGTTCCCTATAGACCACAAAGTACATCTTAAAGTCACAGGCTTCCTGTCATTAAAAAATGATTTCAGATTTTCGGTGTGCTTAGAACAGGAGAATCATAGTTCTGGAATTGTGAAAGGCCTTAGAATTCATTATTCAATTTTTAAAATGGGCCATCTATTTTCATAAAATAAAAATTTGTTCTTCTAAAAGAACTATATATCCTGTCATAGTGTTCCTATCTTGAACTGCAAGAAAAAATGGATTCAATAAATGGCTTTAAATCAAGTATTTTCAACATATTTCCAACAAATAATTTTTTGTATCCTTTCCATGACTGTAATATTTTTTTTTTCCCTAAATGACAGACCTTCTTATCCACCTGCCTAAAAATTCTATAAAAACTCTACAACACAGTATGTCCCAAATTGGACATCTCACCTTCTTCAACATTCTTCTTCTCTCACCATTACTGCAACAGCCTCCTCACTGGCATCCCCGAGTCCAGTCTTGGCTCCTCAGAGTCACTGAAGCCCGTGTGCTACTTGTCTGACTCTCATCAGCCAGTGACCCTCAAAGAAACGTGGAGCCACCTTCCAATCTCTTGCGTTCCTTCATCCTTTTCCCTTCTTTATGTTCTCTGATCCATCCCGAGAAGTGTAATACTTGTCAGGTGTAATTCTTGTCAGGTGTAATACTTGTCAAGTGCAATACTTGTCAAATGTAATGCTTGGCATGTGTTTTTTCACATGCCTCAAAACTTTTGAACCTGTTCCATAAGATACGGAGAAGATAAATTAGCTGCCTACATCCCAACCCCAATTATCCCAAACAAAATCAATCAAGTAATTTATCTCTACCTTCTGGATTCTTCGGGAAATTTGTTTTTATTTGCAGAAGTGTCAGAACCTCTGAAACCATAGCTAACATTTTTAAATTACACTACTAAGCATTTTAATATATTACCTCATTTAAGAACTTTGTCTAAGAAGGCTTTTCATTGCAGTTGTTATATTTGATGACACAGGGATTGAGAAGTTAAATAATTTACTTAATGTACTACATCTAGTGACATTCAGAGTTGAGTTCAAGTAGTCTAACTTCAAAACCTAGTCTTGTCCCAGCTTTATTGTGTGTTATCTTACGTGCTCTTATCCTTCCGCCCCCAAAAGACTGCAAGTTTGTAGAAGACACCACACTGTCTTTTTCAAGTTTATCTCTTCGGCAGCTGGTATATTTCTCAATAAATATTGAACGAAAAACAATGAATTGGCCAATCTCTGAATCTTCACCTATGGTTTGAAGTTCCATGGAACTATAACCATTGAATATTTTATTTTACTTTATGAGATAAAACATCCCTGCTGCCATTTAAAACAAACAAACTTGTTTGGGAGCCCCCTACCTTGTCTCACTTCACATATTCTCAAAAATGATAATAATAACAATGTAGGATAACTTAGGGATCACTGACCCTCTTCTGTTCGATAAACCAAGATAGGGCAATCTAGCTTGAGAGGGTATTTGAATATTTTTACTTTACCCATACAGAGACTGGCCAAGCATATGTGTGTGCCAGAGATGCATGTACATGTTGCTTCGCGGCATCGGCATTAATTATGGAACCTGCTTTGCATTGCTTTATGGTTAGAAATATTTCTAGGTTGTTACAATCACCCATTCATCATTCACTCAACAAATATTATTCAAGTAAAGATTTTTATGCTAGAGCTTTAATTAAGGGGCTGATGATACTAATGAAACAATAATGAATTATCCATGTCAGTGAAGAGATCATTTCCCAACCTGTAATTTGACAACGGTGCAAACATATAATCAGCTAACTCCCATGTACTATGCACTTATCAACACAGGATGGTGGTGCTAAACTAGTAGGAACAATAATTAGTCTCCAAATGGTACATTGACATTTGGGATTTTGAAACAGAAGTATATTGATGATTCTGTACAATAATTCTGCTGGCTTCATTTTGCTTGGTACTATATATTCTAGAACTTTTAGCTGCTAAATCAGACAATTCATAGAACACCAGTAAGTGCTCATTTAGACAGAAATGAAGAAACCACCACAAAATATTTTATTTTATACTATATTTTTTCTGCCTATCTAAAAGCGTCTTTTCAGAAATTAGAATAAACAATTCTCCAAGGGAAAACCCCAATATATACGATGATGAGAACCTTGCTCAAGCTCCTTCATGTCTCTGTTCCTCAGTTTCTCCCTGTATAAACAGAAGCTCGAACTACCTAATTTCTGAAATGCCTTCCAGCTCCAATGATTCATGAATGTTAAGCTCCATCAGCCTGATCCTGTGGTTGGAAAAGGATTTTAAAATTTGCTTTACAGGACTCCTAATTCACTAGACTTTTAAAAATAAATTCTCTCACTCTATTGCCATAAGAAATATGTCTCAAGGAAAACTTTTTCAAACTAAACAATAATACTTGTTTTGTGGTAAGGCTAATACTACCCCATTGGCAAGCAAAGCTCCTTAGAAGCAAGTAAATTTAATGTGAACAAGGATATTATCATTAACTAGTTATATGACCCAAGCCTTTCTGAGCCTCAGTTTCCTCATCTGTAAAGTAGGAGTGATGACGATGTCTATCTCATGGCATAGTTGGGAGGTATGAATAAAACAATAAATTTAAGAAACACAGCTCATTATTTTTGGTGCATGACCAGAGCTCCATAAGCTTAGATTCTAGTATTATTAAATTTCTTATAAACTATCATACTACAAAAATAATGGAGAGGGGGCGGAAGACAAAAGTACAAAACACCTCATGGTGTTTCGTCTAAAGAGCATTATGCTGCATGAAATTAACCAGGCATAAAAGGACAAGTATTATATCAGATCATTGTTATAAAGGAAAAACCAAGTACAAGATTTTCATACCAAAGAGAACAGATGTTGGGGTGGGTACGGGAGAGGAGATTCTTAATGCTATGATAAGAATTCTTTCATTGAATATTGGACATTACCTAATTTGGGATCATCGCTATTCAAACAAATAGACATTTTTTTGTATAATACCAAGGGGGAGAGAGTCAGGGAGGGAAGATCAACAATGGGCTACACTATTGATCGGTGTTAACTTGGAAGATAGTTGTCCACAAGAAGGATAATCTAAATCAAGGAGCAGGTGAAGGGGAAACTAATAGGTTCTTTGATTCGTAGTTTAAACTCTTGAATATAAAGTTGATGCTCTGCAATGTGAATCCTCACCTACTTTATAATAACTTTTTAAAGAATAAGAACAAGATGGCATATCAAGGAAAGAAGATGCAGAAATGCAGTATTGGAAAATGAAAGTGAAATGCCAAGTCAGTCTGCCCCACACCCCCGTACGCATTGTCACCAAGCATGGCTTCTGTCGCAAAGACTCAGCTGGTGCAGAGTTGGCAATTCTGCAAAATGATAAGCTCATCTTCACTGGTGGTCTGAGATGACAGAGAGATGATTTGACGATCTCAAATGAAATTTTTGCTGAGATTAAAATGGTTATCGGTGTATTTTGAAACTATGTTAATCTCATTCATCTAGATTCAGACGTCATGAAACCAAAATGCAGAGGCACATGAAGCTCTTTCTATGGGAGGGTCATGTTAATGAGGCATAGGCCACCCTAGATGCAGTTCCCAACTATAAACTGGGCTTCCCCAGGAATAGGACTCCCCGGGAGTTAGCTGACATCTGTTTTTGCATAATGGAAAGGATTTGATTAAATCAGCACCCATACATTCATTCATAAAATGAACCTGGTACTTTGTGAATCAGCAGTGTACATTTCAAGCCACAAGCTTCGTACACAATGGAGACGTAAGGGGACACTATTGCTCAATGAGCCATTTGATTTTTCTTAATTAAACTTATACTGACATAGGAGAAAATTAATAATCTGCCCCCCTAATATCTTATGAAAAAGATGTCTAGTTCATGCTTCCTTTTAGCTACCTGGTAAAGCTGTCTGCTTTTCGCATGAGTCCATGTGTTCACAGAGGGAGCTATGGGGATGGTGACATACTCTTATTTCCTGTTCTCTCTCTCTGTTGTTTAAAAAGGTAAAATTGGTCAACTTGCTTTGCCTTCTTGACCCTCAATTTTATCAGGCATAAGTGGGTATAATATCCAGCTGTGGAGTTACTGCCTACTTGATGATGTCCAAAAGCAAAATAAAACAGTGCTTAAATGTACCAAGTTTCTGGCTTGTGCAGATTATTAGTGCACTAAGCTGCTTACTGAAAGTTTGGAGGTTTGAATCATCACAGACTCAGAAGAAAGGCCTAGTAATCTACTTCTGATAACTCATTCATTAAAAACTCAATATAGCATAGTTCTACACTGAAACCCATGGGGTTGACCATAAATCAAAGTCACTTAATAATAACATTTAAATGCATAAACCCAAAGTCAGATTGTAATCCTCAGAAAGTTGTTTAAATTAGTACTACCCTGATTCTCCTATAAAAATGTTGACAATTGGATAGCACTAGGCGTTTTAATACTGAGCTCTTTATTTCTTTAAAAAAATCATTTTATTAGGGGCTCATCCAACTCTTATCACAATCCATACATATATCAATCGTGTAAAGCACATTTGTA